TCACCATCCTCAAATATTCAATACTAATAACAGGAGTTAATATCTCAATTGTTCCAAAGAAAAATACGTGAAACTATCTAAAACAAATTAAAATAAAAATCTAGGAAAGACACATCCTTTTATCTCTAACCGTTGACAAAAAGAAGACTCGAGCTACACCCTCTCCTAATCTTGGATAGCCTGAAAAATAAAAAAATCACATAATTAAGAAATATCAATTAAGAAAATATTATCTTATTAAGTAAAAAAACGCATTTTCTCTAGTGCAAATAGTCAATCATAAAAATAGAAAAGAGATTTTACAAAAATAATTACCTAGTCCTGCACATGTTCTCAGTGCACGTACATACTCATGATGAATGATACACTTAAACAAGTTTTGGAGCCAAATGAGAATATATACCCAGTCAAGAGTTAGTAAGCTTTAATGTAACAGTCTGTTGCATGCAAATATATCCATTTAGAGCAAGGACAACATGAAATAGTTTCATTATAATACAAACATATTATAACCCATGACTATAAGTGAAAGAAAAAAATCAAATAAGAGAATTGAATGGCCAGTTTTATGTACCAAATCTGCATGATGGATGATGACAATGTCTGCACGGTCAAGTGCACTCACCGGTTCATGCAAAGATCCGCGTGGAAGCAAGTGGTTGTTTCCCCATGGCATTAAGCTATATTTAGCATGACAATTTCCACATCACGAAACAAACTCAAATGCTGCCTATCAAAGATTGCAACAACAGGAAAGACGCGATGTTAGCAGGCTATGTATCCACGAGGGAAAATATCTTCAAATATATGTTAACATCTTATCATAATTCTAAATTTGATGTTCACTGCAGCTTGGTAATAACCAATAAAAGACGCTTGAACACCTTGGCTAGCACGAAGGGAACGTAACAATTTGAGCTTGATGATAATACATAGAGGGAAAAAATGAAGCAAAAACAACCTTATGCTATTCCATAATTGTTATACAAATTAACTGGCTAAAAGTTTAATAACACTAATAATCACAGCAACAGTCCTCAAGATAACAGAACTATAAGGCAATCAAATAAAGTGTGAATGCATGCAGTATTACAAAATTTTACTTAACTAGACAAAATATATATTTTGAACCCATATCTAGAACTAGAAGTATTGTCTTGTCATGTCTGTGCAGGAATGTTGTTTATCTCCTTAATTTGCTAAGCATAGTTAGCATAATGTTGTGCGCGTCGCGGAAGCATGACAACCAAACGGGCGTGCTTCGAGAACCAAATCAAACAAACGTCGAGATAAAGGCCAAACAAATCAAAACAACGGCACAAATCCAAACACAATAGTTTTACGTGGTTCAGCAAGTTGCCTACGTCCACGGGGCAAGAAGGGGATGAGGTTTTCACTAATAGAGAAAGAGTACAAACTGAGATTACAAATCACTCGAAGGAACAAACTAATCTCACCAACAAGCTCTTAATCTCTCCAAACAAAACCCTAAACAAATAGCTCAGAAAATACCTCTTTTCTGTGCTCCAAATATCCCCAATTTTTCTTCTCCACCAATTTTCTCTTCCAATTGTTCCATATATATAGAAATCCTAAAATCATAAACATACTAGGAATTCTAAACCAAAACCAAATCAAATTAGGAATCCTAATAACCTATTACCAAAATAGATTAGGAATCCTAATAACCTCATGTTACTAAAATAGACTAGGAATCCTAATAACCTCATGTTACCAAAATAGATTAGGAATTCTCTATCCAACAATTCTCCACCTCGGCGAAGTTTTCCCAAAACTGAGCCGACACCGACCAAACCAAATGCCTCACATATTGTGTCCAGTACGAAGTGAAACGATCCACAACAACGGACTCAATCCACAATAAGTCGAGACCCAAACGGGAGTACGAACACTCACCCAAACGTCGGTATCTACTCACCAAATCGGCTGCATCATAAATGACTGCCTACGTATCCTCTTGCCCAAGGAATCAAGCCTTCACGTAGTTCACCCAAATGGCCTCAAAAGGCCTCAATCCACTAGAAGAGTTCGCAACCCTTCTCCAATATCACGATCAAGTCTGCGGCTGATAGCACCTCCAATGGCTCCAAACTGAAATAATCCAAACATCTCCACCTGAGATGAACCAATGGCCATATCTAGACTACATCCATCAGTTGTACTCGAATCAATCAACCTATCATCTGCATCCAAATCAACATGATTCCCGATCTGTGTCACATCAGCTGGAATCCCAAATGATGCAGTATGATCTGGAGTTTTCTCCCAATGTGGAGTAGCATCACTCTCCACCCACTGCGATGTTCCAAAGATCTGATCACCACTCTCCACCTGCCGAGAGTCAAACATGACATACCTGCTCAGAACAAAGTCAAAAGCCAATACCTGATAATCAAACACGCCTCTGAATCCCAAATGTGCTATCGGATCAAATCTCACATCCACGATGTGACCAAGTACTGGGTAGCCAAACATCCGACGCAACCCAAAATCTGAAGCAGCTCCACCAGCTCCCATATCTATACATGCAGCAGTCGGCAACCTATACATGAGACGGCCCAAACATGTCGTAGCCTGCACACCAATGCTAATGCTCGACATCAAACGCCGATCCTCCTCCAGAAAGGAACAGCTGCCCAAATCTGCCATCTCGCCTTGTCGCCTCAAAGTTTCCACACCAATAAAGTGTCTCCTATTGCCATGAGCTCGGCACAAATACAGTAGGTCCCTCTTGTACCTTCTTCTACAACCAGAATGAAGTACCTTCACCTTACCCCCAATACACTTCTTCAACTGTTGTTGACTACTAGGACTTCAAAACCAACGGGATTTGGTTGCAACCCACAAATGCCTAGAATAATCCCCAACATAGGAAACCAAAATACCAATTTACCTTCCAATGATGCCTCCTTGGAAGGCCCCTAAATGCCTGAATGAACACCAAATAGAAGACCCTTAAGTTTTTAACTGAGATAAGAGTAATGCTAACGAAGCACAACAAAACAATACGAGATAAGAATTAGAGATGCAAACCGATTTCAATATAAACAGATCTGAAAGTATTTCTCCCTTATCTGATGGAATCTTATACATCTTTTATTATTTAAAAAAATTGTGATCACAATCTATATACTTCTCACTTTCGTACTTGTATCTAATGAACACGACCTTTTATTTCCTAACTGTGCTTGCTAGCAGCTAACTAGTGGCATTCGCAGCCAGCAGTTGCACATTAAACCTACACAAGTTACTTGAGTTGTGAACAATTTGTTGTGCGCGTCGCGGAAGCGTGACAACCAAACGGGCGTGCTTCGAGAACCAAATCAAACAAACGTCGAGATAAAGGCCAAACAAATCAAAACAACGGCACAAATCCAAACACAATAGTTTTACGTGGTTCGGCAATTGCCTACGTCCACGGGGCAAGAAGGGGATGAGGTTTCACTAATAGAGAAAGAGTACAAACTGAGATTACAAATCACTCGAAGGAACAAACTAATCTCACCAACAAGCTCTTAATCTCTCCAAACAAAACCCTAAACAAATAGCTCAGAAAATACCTCTTTTCTGTGCTCCAAATATCCCTAATTTTTCTTCTCCACCAATTTTCTCTTCCAATTGTTCCATATATATAGAAATCCTAAAATCATAAACATACTAGGAATTCTAAACCAAAACCAAATCAAATTAGGAATCCTAATAACCTATTACCAAAATAGATTAGGAATCCTAATAACCTCATGTTACCAAAATAGACTAGGAATCCTAATAACCTCATGTTACCAAAATAGATTAGGAATTCTCTATCCAACACATAGAACTTGAATCTCTTTTTGTCATGCATAGGTGGTTAAAAGTTCCATGCTAGCTAGCACTTTGGATGAAGTTTGAAATTGCTGCATCCAAAGCCTCTATTGCTTCATGCACGTGTGATATGTGAGCTTCAACCTGAAGTGACAATGAAACTCTCCCGTTTTATATCATTCTCACGCTTGCTCAAAGAGCTCCTCTATTATTGACTGTTCTGTCTACAATTGTCATAAATATATGCTTCTTCATGAGGATGTCACTTTGAGTTTTGCTACATGGACGTAAAATATGGGACCAATAAGGGGGACAAGTGAGGTGTCCCCCTCCTATTGGATAATGAGTTGGCCGTCATTAATAATGGCCAACTCATTATCCAATAGAAGGGGGACATCTCACTTGTCCCTCCTATTGGTCTCTGAGGAATTTTTCTGCCACTTTGGTTATTGTTGAGAATGAGCATTAATTAGATGGAGTGTTTCAAAGATGTAACCACAAGCACTTGCTACTGGTGATGTCCCTTCCACGTGGTTAGCGTCAAGCATTAATATTGTTGGGACGTCAACTCTATAGTTAGCATCAAGCATCTTAGCAGTTTGTTATTAGATTTTTAAGTCATCATGTTTATCTCTGTATTCATCATTTTTATCATCAACACAACTAGTTAGTACTGTTATCGCCTTACACAATCATTCATTGGCTACATCGATCTCATGTTTGTTGAGGTTGCTATTACGTGTTTATTGTTCCAAATCGGATAGGATAAGAAAGTTTTATAGGGTGTTTTGCATGGCAACTACCTAGCCAAAGACTTAGGCACTAAACTCTAGTCTTCTTATATATAGATTAATAATAATTAGAACCATGCCGAAAGAAATTAAGGATAATAATTAATAATAATACCAGCTTTCACTGAAGTCTTGCAAAGCCAACTATATATACTAATCCCAACAAAATAACAAACTCCGAACCTCCCAAAGTCTAAATTGACTACACAAATTAATAATATTTTGCACGAAAAGGACTAAGCAATGTCTTCAACAGCCTTAGCTCATCTACCATGAAATCCATATCCTACCGACCAAACCTATGCATGGCTACTAAATTCGTGGAAGATGCTTAGGTTGTCCTAAACAGTACCATGCACTAATTATTTGAGCCCTAAGCTTGCAATGCCGACGACTCAAAGCCCCGGAAGCCGACAACTGTCAAGGACGAACAGGCATCGAACAGAGCGTGCAGCACCGAGAATCAGCGAAAACTATCCAAATCTTGCCGTGTCTCTCGAATGCGGGAGCAGTCTGATGAGGTGGGATCATGTGCGGAGAATTTCAGCTTCGTTCAGGGGTACTTTCTTCGGCTCACGGGGGAGGAAAGAGGTTTCCCTTGGGAATGTTGCTGGGAGAGGGGGAGATGTTGTTTTACGTGATGCTGATGGAAGGAAGAGATGCGGTTGGGTTACTGAGTTCAGTGGTAATGCTAAAGTTTTGTCTAAATTGCGCCCAACTTGTATAACTACTTACATAATTAATTATGTTGAATCCCTATTGGGCAAAAGCCAACCAATTCAATAAAATGGGCTGCTAATTAAGAAATAGAGGCTTTTGCTTTCTTGCTGCTCACATTGATGTAGGATGGAGAGCTCACAAGTCCGTAAGAGCATCTCCAACAGCTTCCCCATTTCCCACTTTTGGAGAATTTAGTTAGATTTTTGGTCCAACAGATTCCCCATCTCGTTCCCCAAAATAGGGATGAAGGAGAAAAAATAGGGAAGCTTCCCCAAATCTACAACATTCTTCAAATTTTGGAGGAAACAAGTGATTCTTCAAAATGGGAAAGCTGTTGGAGTTGGTGTAAAAAATAATTTGAAGAATATGACTTTTGCTTCCCCATTTTGAAGAAAATTTTAGAGAATCTGTTGGAGATGCCCTAACTTGCAGCTCGTTTTTCTAAAATAAATAGACTGTCCGCCTGTACCCAGTGTCATCATCTTGTTTACTTCCCACCTCCCCTAATAAATGTCGGTAATATGTCATGATTTCCTCGTCATAAGCTGCACAGGGCTTTACTTGCTTTTATTAATTTTCCTTTCGGATTGATTGTTGTTACTAGTATCGTTTTATGTATTTTTTTTTCCCGAATAATTTTTCAAAACAGGCCCATTTAGTTTTTTATTTTTTAAAATCGACCGATTTTTCTTTTATTTATCAAAACCGACCCGATTTTATGATTAGCAGGCTAATTACTATCCTAAATAGTCGGGGTTGCCAACCCCGACTATTTAGGATAGTGTTAAACCCTAATTAAAGGCCTTAAACCCTAAAAATTAATGTCCTAAATAGTCGGGGTTGGCAACCCCGACTATTTAGGATAGTAATTAGACTGTTAATCACAAAATCGGGTCGGTTTTGATAAATAAAAGAAAAAACAGTCGATTTTGAAAAATAAAAATCTAAATGAGACTGTTTTGAAAAATTGTTCATAAAAGAAAAAACAGTCGATTTTGAAAAATAAAAATCTAAATGAGACTGTTTTGAAAAATTGTTCTTTTTTTCCCATGTGTAGTTAACAAAATCTACTACAGATAAGTTTCCAAGTTCTTAAAATTTTGAAGAAGGACGTATTAATTAGGTACGTACGACTTTAGCCTCTTCATATTCTCATAAAATAATTTGATGTTTTTGACTGCTTAAATTTCACTTAATTGGTTGAGATCCTCGATCCTTCGCCTCTTGATAAGATTACACTTATGGGGGCGCCCTTATAATACGAGTCACGAATTAAAATTGTCTGTCTGCAAAGCTTTTTAAAGTAAAAGGGTATATCCAAACATTTTTAATTGCTTCTTTCAAATGAGCAGGTACATATGGTTTCGACGTAGTCACGTACGGTTACTAACTCATCGATCCGAACCACCATTATACTTGAAGTCCTTAGTCTTGGGAAGGGAAAATTCTAGCCTATGAATATTAGAACTTTTGATAGTAGAGAGGATCAAAATCTAAAAACAATAATTAAAAACAAATATAGATAAGTATCCTCGTTACAAAAATGATGAATTTCTTTACTGAAAAACAATCGATTAAATTATTATAGTGTCATTTAACATATATTTTGCTCTTGTTTTTGATAAAATATTATGGTGCAGATGAAGTCTACGTTTCTTTCCATGATAAATGCTGGGGTGTTCCGGTTTTTCATGATAGGTGAGCCTCCGTTTTTATTTGCATGATTTTTTTTTCTCAATATTTTATTTTATTTTATTTTATTTATTAGCATGTTAATAATTTGTTTGTTTTTACACAATCAATCCTCTTAGTCTCAAATTTTATAAAGAAAATTAAGGTAATTTGGAGGTGTGAGCCTCCCTAACAATATTGAAGGAGCTCACAAGTTCTAGCTAGGTAGGAGTTTTACAATTTAGAGTCTTTTTGTATTAATTGGATGTTGCTAGGAATTATCCTCCTTATTAGTTCTTATGAAAAAACAATTGTTGAATCGTTACATCTAACACACTTTTTATAATGAATTGGTCAATAGCCAGCTATTTGAGCAGCTAACACTATCGGGAATGCTCATTGATTTCAATTGGACCCAGATTCTAAAGAGAAGGGAGTGGTACCGGTATGTCGTCTCATCTGGTATTAGAACTTTTGATTCCGTAGTGCTATCTTTGGAGGGGTTAATTTGCAAATAGATCACATATAGTTCTATTGTTGCAGATAGACCCCTTTACTATCTGCAATTATAGATTTCCAATTATAGATAGACCCGGAGTGTTTTTTTTTTGTTGAACCCTTTCACTCTCAAAAGAGCTTTTTGTCAAAAAAAAAAACTAATTTTCTTTTACTCTGAGGGTGAAGGAGTCAGAAAAGTTCGTGTGCGGTCTCTACCAGCAACAATAGAACTATCGGGATCTATCCACCATTGGGCGATAGTAAGGTGGTCTATCAACAATTGGGCCTTTTTGAATAAGATTGACCCCTTTTTGTAATGTTAGAAATGTTCCATCAAATCTTTTTTTTTAATAAAAAACCTTCCATCAAATCTTTAATTCAATATCTACTGTAATCTTGTTAATGCTTCAAGATAGACAAGATTATTCCTCTAAAATTTCTAGTATTTTTAACTTCTTGCCACCTTTATCACAGATAACTTGGCCTTACCCTCAACTAATCTTCAAAAGCATATATGTTTATTTCCTTACTTATTCTTTTCTTTTGTTTTTCTATGGGCATATTATGAGGTTGAAGCAGGGAGGTGTTTGCAAAGTTTGATCCTAATGTCGTGGCCAAGATGGACGAGAAAGATATAATAAAGATAACTTCAAAAAAGAAGTTTGGATTAGCCAAGAGCAGGGTTAGGTGCATAATTGACAACGCCAAGTGCGTACAAAAGGCAAGTATTTGGATTTCACATAAAATGGAACTAAAGTAAAAACTAAAAGAAAACCATTATTCTTTAATAAAAAGTCTTAGATTTCTTAGAAAACTCTAATCAACTCGTTACTTAGTGCAATGTATAAAATGCTAGAGATGACAACACCCCAGCTACAACCTAGAGGTTAGCTGAGAAGTTATTTTCAAACAAGGCTTTCTTCTGCATTAATTTCTTTTCGTTTTGTATGAGAAGTAAGAATAAATGAAAACATATATATATATATAAATATATATATTATGGAGAAAAGTGAATCTAAGGTGACACCCTAGGCCCCACCTAAAAACCGGCCTAAATCATCATTTCTTCTTTTGCGATCCGCTCCGTTGACTTGATCTACACGTTCTTTAACCTAAACACACCAATTTTGGGGTGAACCCGTCGTGTTTTGACCCTTTATCCACTCACTGCAATTTTAACGGTTTCGAATGAAATGAATTTTGCACGGCTCAACGAATGGTCAAAACACAACGGGTTCACCCCAAAATTAGTGTGTTTGGGTTTAAGAACGTGTAGATCAAGTTTCAACGGAGCGGATCATAAAAAAATTTAGGAAATGATGTGATTCTAGGCCGCGTCCTTAGGTGGGAGCCTAGGGGTGTACCTTAGATTCACTTTTCCATATATATATATATATATATATATAATATATAATATATATATATATATATATTATTATATATATATATATATATATATAGAGAAGAGAGAGAGAGAGACGAGGAAGAGTAGAGAGAGATGGAGAAACTTGGTACCAAGTTGCTCCAAGCAACTTGGTAGTGATGTGGCCTAATCTTATCCCTACATCTACATTGGAGTTTGTGAAGGGTAGTTGAGGCTCTATCTTCGAGGTGTGATGTAGGGGCAAGATTAAGCCACATCACTACCAAGTTGCTTGAAGCAACTTGGTACCAAGGTTCTCCATTTCTCTCATATATATATAGGGAGAGGTTTTAATAAAAACCTCCTTAGCCTAAAAACTAAAAACCAATATCATCTAATGGCTAGGATTCAGTCAAACAGTCAACAGACACATGCATTAATTACCTCATTAAAAACATGCATTAATTACTTTAACGCAGTGAATCCAGATTCACTACAGTGATTCCAGATTCATTACCTCAACGAACACGTCCTTCACTGCAATGAATCCATATTCACTGTAGTGAATCCAGATTCATTACCTCAACGAACACGTTTTTCACTGCAGTAAATCCAGATTCATTACCTCAACGAACACGTTTTTCACTGCAGTGAATCCAGATTCACTGCAGTGAATCCAGATTCACTGCAGTGAATCCAGATTCACTGCAGTGAATCCAGATTTGTGTTCGTTGAGGTAATTAATGCATGTGTCTGTTGACTGTTTGATTGACTCTCAGCCATTGGATTCATCTAGATCCAATGGATGATATTGGTTTTTAGTTTTTAGGCTAAGGAGGTTATTATTAGAACCTCACACACAAATAGAGGAAGCCACTCCTAGATTTTAATTTTTCTTAAGGTTTTTACATCAAAACCATCTTTACTTTTATCCAAATTGATACTTATCACCTTTAAAGTTTTTTTAATGTAAATCATCTTTACTTACTAACATATTTGGAATATCACACCTTTTTTTACCATTCACCCACAAAAAGTCAAATATTCTCATTACCTCTATCTTATTCCTTCCAACCCCTAACCCTAACCCTGGCCTCCTCCGTCCTCCTCTTCTACAAACCCTAACCTTAGCACATGGCCGCAACCTCACGCAAAACCATAACCTTAACCCCTAGCCGCCACCTCCTCCAAACCCTAACCCTAACCCTAATTCTAGTTCCTACTTGGAAGGAATGGGAGAGCAGGACGTCAGGGAGGAAGATGGAGGACGAGAGAGAGGGGGAGGAAAGACTGGGAGAAGAGAAGGATGAGGAGGTTAGGGTTAGGGTTACGGTTAGGATTTTTGCGAAAGGAGATGAAAAAATAAGAAAATACTGAGGGTAAAACGGTGATTTCGCATATTTTTTAGGTTGACAACTGGATTAGGTGTGATATTGCAAATATGTTAGCAAGTAAAGATGGTTTATATCTGAAAAAACTTTAAAGGTGGTAAGTAGGGGTGCTAAGCCGTATCTGTATCCGAGGAAATATTTGTAATCGTATCGTTAGGATACAGATATGGTTACTCAAATCTATAACCGATATGATATGAATGCGGATATGGTTTTGTAGTGAAATATCTGTATCCGTATCCGAAATATCCGAATACATATTAGTCATACTCTTACGATAGTTTCGATTCTTAGATTATGTATTTGTGGTTAATTTTGATGATCAAGATGTCTACTCTTAATTTTTCAGCTATAATAAACATATTAACGAATTTTTTTGTATCACATGAACTATGTTTTTCTCAATACTAACTAGTTTTCTCATATCCATTTTATATCTGCATGCATATCCGCTTATATATCTGCATGTATATCCGTAACTGTATCCAATTTTAGCGGATATGGTTATGAATTTTCTTTACCGAGGTATATCTGTATCCGTATCTGTATCCAAGATGGGTATGCGGAGATATGATAAGCATCATATCCGAGCCGTATCTGGATCTAAGTATCAATTTGGGGAAAAGTAAAGATTTTTGATATAAAAACCCTTTTTCTTATGCTGTTGGGCTTCATCGTTGGATCCAAATCACTATTACCATTTTATGGGCCTCCCATGACAAGAAGCAAAGAGCAAGGGCGACCATATTTAAATGCCCAAATGCCAAGCCCGTATAATGTCCACATTAGCTTAGCCCATGCAAATTTAACCATCCTAATCAATAGCAGTCTTATACAGATAATAATCCTCTAAAAGGCCCTTAAGAACAAATACGGGATCCAAGGCAATCATCTTCCTTTAAAAAAAAATCCCCCCTTCGTGTTTAGACTTTACGCTCAGTGAGAAAAATCATGTAAAACTATATTTTGTTCTCTTCCGTAGTTTGTTGTTATTGTTGACAAGCTATTTTTAATTTTAAACAAGCGTAGTTTGAACAACTTTACTGTACTTTATTTGTAACATATGTAGCAGTCTATCGAACTTGAGAATTTTTGCTTAAAACATAAGGCTAACTTCTCAATCCTTCCTTATAAATTATGGGATCTACTTTAGATTTTCTTATAGTATAAATACAGTATGAGATCTATAGTGTGATTATCTTACTTGATGCAAAACCCCAACACACTTCGCCAGCTACAGCTAAGCAACACTATTTAATATTAGATACAAACATGTAGCTTTGAGAATAATTAATATTTGTAATTAGTTTAGCATTAATAATACTGTTGCATAAATACCTAAATTTCACCCTTACGCGTGCCCCCAAACAGGTTGTTGGAGAATTTGGATCTTTCAGTGGGTACATATGGAGCCATGTGAATCACAAGCCTATTATAAAAAATCGAAGGCAACATTCATAGAGGAGCTGCACAAATATGGACAAATTTTCAAAACCAACCTATTTGGACTTTTATTCCCAAAAAAAGACCCGTTTCACATTTATTTAGAGAAACCGACCTGGTTTCAGCCTCAGCGCTGAAACCAGGTCGGTTTTTGAAAAAAACTCTCCGAAACTTCACGGGAGTTGAACTCCCGTGAAGTTTTTTGAACTACGAAACTTCACGAGAGTTCAACTCCCGTGAAGTTTCGGAGAGTTTTTTTTAAAAACCGACCTGGTTTCAGCACTGAGGCTGAAACCAGGTCGGTTTTTGCAATTATTTTTGAATGGGGTCGTTTTTTGGGAATAAAAGTCCAAATAGGTTGGTTTAGAAAATTTGTCCGCACAAATATTCCTTCGAAAACCCCAAAGTCTAAAGCCATAAGCAAAGACCTAGTGGGCAGAGGGTTTAGACTTGTGAGTCCAGTGACAGTTTACTCCTTCATGCAAGCTTCAGGCATGGCGATCGATCATGAACTTGATTGCTTTAGGTTCAGCGAGTGTGTCAAGGCGGCAGAGAGATCATGGGGAATGACTAGCTTAGGAAATTAACTAGCTAGTTAGTTTATCTTGAGTTATGAGTATGTATTTTAAATATAAAGCCATGTGCATAAATATATATATGGTGTACGATATAGCGAGATGCATGTATTGCTTGTTATATTTGTTGTTTGCAGAAAATTTTTAAATCTTTTATTATTTTAATGCAAATCACACGTCAATAACCCAACCACCACCACATAAAAAATGCAACACCTTCAGTTTGCTTCATGTTTCCGAAGTCGATCAGTGGACTTTTCCCCGCTACAATTTGAAAAAAATTAGCGCAGAACAGTAAATTATAGCTGCGATACTGCTATCCGTTAAGGCAGGAGGTCACGCTAAAGTCCCTAGAGTAGGACTTAAGCGTGCAAATTGGACCCATTAACACTCATTGCCATGATAATAAACCCCCAACTAATTAAACACACTAGCTAGCTAGTTCTGCTTTTGTCTTTCTCTTCTCGTTGCTTCCATTACATTTCTCTTAAGAATTTCGGTGTTTTTGATTTAGTGTCGACGATGCAAACCTAGTCCGTATGTAAGTACAGAGATCAGTTCATGACAGAGTTTGTACGAAGTAATTGTTGCTGAAGATAATAACACCCATGATGTCGAATGTGAAGACTCGCTCCTAGCGCTGATCTAGGTGTGCTTCTGGACCAACCCTTGATTACTTGAGATTTTTCTTGAACCAATGCTAACAAATTTTGCAGTAATTATGTGAAACTTCAACACGAGATTACTGACTTGGAAATCTAAAAACATAAATCTCAATTCTCATCGCAACTTCAGAGTTTTGATGAAGTAGCATGACTTTTAAGATAATATCAGAGCATTCCAGATTCGATATGCATGAGTCCAGCTTTATGTCCATAAAAGAGTCTTCAACCTGCAAGAGCATGTGAGAGTATAAAAATTAATAGGCTAAATGGCACTTAGATACCACAAAGTTTCCTTGTTTTGGCACTTATATGCCATGAGTTATTTTTTTGTGATAAATAAATATCATAAGTTGTTTAAAATTAGCATGTTAGTATCCTTGAGCATTCAAACGTGAGAATTTTCATCCAAATGTTTCTCTATTATACCTATGTACTAATTTTAGAAACTTTTAACTATTAATACCTATTAAATTGGCTATTAAATCTACCAAATTTCTTTTTTAAACTTATCTTACTTCTACTTTAAAGTTGGGTTGGAATATGTTTAATGATTTAATAAATATTAATGGTTAGAAAGTTATAAATTTAACATGCTTGTATCATAGGGGAACATTCAGACGAAAATAATTTTCATGTATGCATGATCTAGGGTGCCAACGTGCCAATTTTAAGTAACTTATAGTATTTATTTGCCTAAAAACAACAACACGTAGTATATAAGTGTTAAAACGAGGAAACTTTGTGATATTAAATGCCATTTAGCCATAAAAATGTAATTATCACCGTAACTTCGGAGTTTTGAAGTTTTGACGGAGTAACAAGCCTTTAAGCTATAAATCTCCTATATTAAAACCTGCAAATACCCCCGAATACAATCATTGCCTCAAAATATTAATTTTGCCTAGTAAGCTCAACAAGCTAATACGCCTTCCACTTCCAAAATCAGTTAGATCCTCAATCCATTTTACCAAAAGAAGCAAAGTTGCTTTCACTAATCTACCATGAAAACCATATATCTTACCAAACGGAGGAACCAACCTTAAGTCCACACTTTAGCAATTAGCACCTCAACCTCCAACCGTTTATTAAACCACCACCACCACTTCACCCATCTCTCTCACTTCAACTCCTCCTCCTCTCCGACACAATGCCGGCCCCAAGTTTTGGCCGACACTCAATCGAGCGGAGCCCGAGCTTTCGAGACGTCGAAAAGAGGCGAAATGCTGCACAAGGGAAGTGCTCTCTTTCAAGGCATTTACAGAGAGTTTATCCCCTTAGTATACACAAGAGCTCTTCAAGTCTCACCCTCTCTTCTTTGTCACTCTCTCAGAATTCAAATGATTCTTCCCTCAATAGCTCTGTTTCTAGCTTGGATCGGAGGATAAATGCGGTGTCATTTCGGGGCATGTTTCGGTGTTTTGAGAGGAGGGAGTTTGGAAATTATGGGAGAGAGTTCGAGTCGGGAGATGACGGAGGATATTTAGATTATGATGATGATGTTGTTGTTGTTGAGGAGGTCAGGTGTGTAGGAGAGGATGGGAGTTTGAAGAGGTGCAATTGGATTACCAAAACTAGTGGTAAGTTCAAAAAAATAAAAATAAAAAGATTGGTCTTCTTGCATTTATGTACCCCCACACATGTCGTAGTTACCAATTTATCCTCCAATTGTGGGTATTTAGCAAATTATCCTCTCAATTCTCCCACATGGATTTTTTCCCCTCAATTTTAAAATATTACTAATGTATCTCTGATAAGTTCATTGATTTCTTTAAATTTTATAATTAATTTGCAGAGAGAGGAGGCACCACTTATGATAAGGATGGGAAGGGTCCAGGTTTAATTAACTTAATCGGGTTTATATTAGTGATATTTGAAAACTGAAGGGAAATTAAAATTGCCTAGAAAATATTTAAATTTGAAGGATAGATTAGTGAATACGGTAGATTTGGAATGATATATACAAAAGACGCAGAAAGCTTTTATTAGCAAGCTTACCGTCGTACATTGCTATTTTGATAATAGGCATATCATTTCTTAAAATCATAATCGTTCAATAAATATCCAGATAGTTGTGATTTATTCTATTTTATAAATCTTTGCTACAGGGACCCAAAATATGAGACCAACATGGGGGACATATGAGGTAATTTCCCCCTCCTATTGTATAATGAGTTGGCAATCATTAATGATGATCAATTCATTATGCAATAGGAGAGTGACACATCACATGTCCCTCCTGTTGGTCCCATATTTTAGGTCATTGGGGAATTTTTTATTTTATAATTCATAAACTGTATTTATTATTAAAGTTTATCGAGGAATCATGATATTGAATTAAATGGGCGAAGCTTATGATTAAACAGGGGACCTTAATTTGTATTGTCTCGATATACCTATATCTAGACCGTCGGTATCATTAATCTCATAAGTGGTTAATAGGGAAGGCCTCTTTTGTAAGTCATTATAATATTAGCATTCGTAGAGATCGAACCATGTCTATATGTTTTATTGGAGTCATGCATAGAGAAAAACATTTGGAGTTAGGTAGTTAATTATGCATGCTTTTGTTGATGCAGATGAAGTTTATGTTTCTTTCCATGATAAGTGTTGGGGAGTCCCAGTTTTCAACGACAGGTGAGCTCGATCACAAAACTATGCATTATCATCACGCAAAGCATTAGTAATTGGTTGATCCACGTACAGTCGTCTCTTTGAGCTGCTCGCTTTATCCGGAATGCTCATCGATCACAATTGGACCGAGATTCTAAAAAGAAGAGAGCAATACAGGTATTTATTTACAATATTAATTAGACTTTGTAATTTAGACTTCTTCGAAACATTGGCACAATCAATAAAGAGAGTTTGATGTTTTCGTGAACGTAGGGAAGTTTTTGCAAATTTTGATCATCACGTTGTAGCCAAGATGGATGAAAAGGACATAATGGAGATAAGTTCCAACAAGGAGCTCATTTTAGCTGAGAGCAGAGTGAGGTGCGTAGTTGACAACGCCAAGTGCATACAAAAGGCAAGTGTTTCGGACTTTTTCTTTTGCTGGATACGTTACACGCAAAATTTTTGATGTGACGTGTGTATGTATTTAGTTCAACGCTGCTATTTGGCTCGGCGGCCGCCCAGCTCGCGCGCAGCACGCAAGAGAGAAACAGGGGTGGGACCCACCTGTGGTCCCACAGGTGGGACTCTCCAACCCCCTGTTTCTCTCTTGCGTGCTGCGCTCGAGCTGGGCGGCCGCGAGCCAACATCATTTTCCTATGTGAAATGCTATTTGGCTTCGCAGGGGGGCTGTGAGGAGGGGGCAGGCCAGTCGGCCCACAAAGCTGCTGGCACACTGGCCTGTCGCCTCCCTCCACGCAGAGTTGCTCGCGGCGGGCCATTGGCAAGCAAAATAGCAGCGTTGTTTTCCTATTTAGTTAGTGATTACACGGGGTCAAGTCACACGGATGGGGGGCTATACTGGGTCAAGCAGCCAAGCTCACCCGTATAATAATATGGAGATTTTTTGAAAGATCAACATGAATGTATATATCAAACCCTTTTTTTTTTTTGAAATATAAATATGTCAGCAGAATGAACAACAAATCATAAAAAATGCATAAAATAAACAAAAATACTTAAAACAACTAGCAATATATATAGAAGAGTAAACTATATATGAAACAGATAAACGAAGTGAACTACAACACAGAAATCAATTTTTTATAGACGGACTTTAAACTAAAAAATTACAACAAAAAAAAAGCTATAAAATCAAACAAAAGTTAATAGGAAACAACACTAAAGTTGTCAAAAGCAGATCCTAAATTCAAGCACCGCGGGCGATCCGGATGGTTGGGAGGTTTCAATATGGCGCTCACGGTCTTCGGTTCGATTTCCGGTCGCTTAATTATTAAAAAAAAGATCCTAAATTCTTGTAACTTCATAAACCATACGCTAACATAGTTGAGTTACGATATAGAATACTTTGCGATGACCTCTCCAATGATACTAATAGAAAGTCCAAACATACCTAATCCCTTCTCGGGAAATCATAGGTGATCCAATTTAAAACAAAAAGGCCCGTGACTAACACAAGTATCTTGCTTTAATGATGTTAGTGTAGTTGTTAATTATTCTCAAAAACAGCTTTATGCGGTTGTTGAAAGGCGTGTATGTATGCTTCAAAAGTGTATATGATATAAATTCTACTAGATTCCATTATGGAGTAATTCTACTAACAGTACCCTATAGAATTAGGTAGAAGAAAACTTCATGGTTAATTATAGTAGATGCATCCTCTGTGCTAGGAGAGAACATCCATTAATTTGTACTTCCAACGATCTGTAGCACTTATATATACCTGTCGGATTCGAAACCATATATTATTTCTTCTGTTAGATCGAGATATCAGATGATAAACTGAAATCATATGACGATAAATTATCTGGAAAAAGAAAAAGAAGATCAAATTGTCCTCTAAATAAAATGGTTTATGAAGTATAAACCACTGTACAGTCATGGACAAAGAAGTGTATTTTCAATCAATCCGAAATTTGAAACTACTTGTTATACCTGCATTCTACTTATTATATCTGTGACATTAGGTTGCAAAGGAATTTGGATCCTTTAGCGGGTACATATGGGCCCACGTAAACCACAGGCCGATGATCAACAAGCACAAGCACCCAAGAAGCATCCCTCTGAGGACCCCCAAGTCCGAAGCCATCAGCAAAGATCTCGTCAGGAGAGGATTCCGACTAGTCGGACCGGTCATCGTCTACTCTTTTATGCAAGCAGCCGGTATGGCCATCGACCATCTTGCCGACTGTTTCCGGTTTCACGAGTGCGTCAGGCTCGCTCAGAGGTCATGGGGCATGACTAATGTAGCCATGTAGTTAATTTCCTGCATTAATTTTTTTGCGTATGGGTTGCCGTTAAATTATGTAATGAGTAATGAAGAAGAAATTTGTTCATTTAATGCTTTTGTGAGCAATGCATGACATGATATGGAAACACATAGCCCCATCTTGTGCTGTCTCTGATCAAGCCAAGGGGAGGTAAATCTTCGTCTGTTTGTTAGTCGGCCAACTGCACGTTTTCAGCAAGTTTGCTCTTTATTGAAGCATGCATGGTCACGCTTCATTAAAAAAAAAGAGAAAAAATACGTATGAAAGGATGCTTCGGCTGTGTTCATCTATCAAATATACCGTCCCAAAACTCATGTAGTGTTCTTAACTTCCCATCGGTTGACCAATGAGCTTGTGTCGGTCGACCGATAAGAGGATTTTTGTGTTGTTTGTAATTTTCAATTCCATGTTTGGTTCTACACTCCCGAAACCAACAGTTTCTTTCCGATAACGGGTTTAATATTGGTCTAGAAAATGGATCCAATCCTAGAGTTACAATGATTTTGCTTTCCTTTGGCTGATTTTACTAAGAAAACAACTAAACAAGGGGTATAAAGGTAATTTAACCCTAAGAACTGCTAGAATTTTAACAGAATTTTAGGTGAACGGTATATTTGACTCAACGAAGCAATTTGATGGGGCCAAATTTAGAACTATAATAATGTGAGGGGCGATTTTACAAATGCCCATAATCTCAGGATTATATTTCGAAAAAAACCCTTATTATAGACGTATACAACTTTTCTTACAATTTTCTTACTCATCAAAGTATTGGCCCTAGCTTGTTGAAAAAAAAACGAACCGGAACTTAAATTGACTTTGTTAAGTCAATTTTTGACCTTTACCTAATTTTATTTTGGTTCACTTCCTTCGGAACTAACTGGTTTAGGGATGAGCTTGGCATAAAAAAGAAACCAGGATCCTTGAGAATCGAGCCACTTACTTTTATTCCTTAACTCTAGAACACCTTTCTTTAAAAAAATCTGGATCACGCAGTCTAATTGTCCCCAGTCCAAATACAATTCAATTTCGATCCTTGCCATTATAAAAAATTAGTTGAGAGATCATTGCTTCGCATTCCAATCTTTAATTATCTAGTGTGTGGTTGTGATATATTATAAATCTAACATTCAACGTACAACCATATATTGCACTCGTTGCTAGTTTTCACCAAAAAAAATCATAACCATCCACTAGATAATCTATGGTTATGATTTAATAATAGTCTCTCCACTAATTTTTTAGATTTTTTTTTAAAATGATCATTTTTGAAACTTTATTAGCAAAATCAACCTTTTGTGGATTATATTAGCAAAATTGACCTCTTTGATCAATTTTGTAAAATATAGTTTTAAAAATACACGGGACTAATAGTACCGTAATTAGTGCTGGCTAAGCACATGCTAATTAAATTTTAAAAATATATAAGACTAATTAAACTTTATTAGGGTACAGTTAGGCACCACTAATAATGTGGAGCTAGGGTGACAGAGGGTGGCCGTGGCCCCCCTAGCTTTTGCCAAGATACCGTCATATATAGGCCTTTTCATATTAGTCCCCTAACTTTTTCATATTTGAAACTAGTCCCTAACTTTTCATATTTAAAATTTACTTCCCAAATCTTTCCTTTTTAAAATAATCTTCATATCTTTCTTATTTGAAACTAGTTCTCCACATATTTCGTATTTGAAACTAGTCCTCTAAATCTTTCATATAGAAATAGTCCCCCCATATCTTTCATATTTTGTATTGGACCCCCAAATGTTTCACCTCCCTTAAAATTCTCTCACTCCTAATGCACTTGTTTTATGGAAGCATGAACTATATCAAAGAGGCCGGGGTACCAAAAGAAAAAGGAAAAGATAAAATAATTACGACCCCTAATAAAGACGCTTGTAATTGACGACCTCCTCAGCCTGGACCGAGTCCAACCAATCCCCTTCGCATTATTAAGGGAGGAGGGGGAAAAAAAAAATTCCGCGTTAAAAAATTCTCTTTCTTTCAGCGTTTCTTATTTGGTCTTTGTTTCCTTTTTCTCTCCATGTGTCTGCTACGGAGCTCATCACATTCCCTCTCTTTCACTGAAAAGACAAGAGCAATTCCTGCAAAAAACAACATCAACAAGAAATTAGGAGCCGATGCAGCTGATGATTTCGGATTTCAATAGCCTCCCCCTTGCAAAAGAGGTATCCGTTTGAACTTGAAACTGACTGATCTCCTGCTGATTTTGTGGTTTCTTGCTGAGGGAATTGTTGTTTGTGGATCTCTTTTGGTGGTTTTGTTGTTCTTTTTGCCGGTTTGGGGTTGTGGGTCATGTTGATCTAAGGGGTTTGGGAAAACCCCGGTTGTAAATTTTGGTTGCAGTAATTGGGATTTTTTTTATGGGTTCATTGTTATGCACCGATGTTGAATTTTTTATATGTGGATCACAAATGAATTATATATTTGTGTTAATATGTAATTTTGACTAAGTAGAGGCTTGCTGGAACTCAGACTAGCTGATTCTGGTGGGTTTGGGTGCGAAAGAGGGCAGGGTAGGGGAACTACATGACAAATATGACGACTAGGGGAAGAGAGGGGTACACAAATCATGATTTGTGTTTGTTTAGGGGCTGTTTGTTTCACCATTCTTATGGAAAAGGAATAGGATTTGGGTCTGACAATGGTAAAATTGTAAATAAAGGATTTTTTATGAATCCTATTCTTGAGTTTGGTTCCCCAAAAATTTATAGATTTTAGAATCTATAAAGTTGAAAAAGTATGCTGATTTTATAGAAACCCAAATCCTAATGATTTGGGTGGATTTAGGGCAGAAAACTGACGCATTTGTACTATTCTTCCTCTCTTTTTTCGGAATATGTTTCTTCTCAAACCTTATATTATTATGAGACCAAATCCTATTCTCATTCCAAACCAACCAAAAGAAATAGGAATTGGAGAGTTTCTATAAAGTTGGATTCTATTTTTTCATGTTATGAAACAAATATAGAAATGAAAAAAAAGAATTCCATGACAACATAAAATTGTCTTAAAAATTTTTATGGATTAGCTAGGAATCCATAAAAAATATGGGATTCCTAATCATATTCTTGCTCACTTGCCCACTATTGAATCAAACACTCCCTTAGAGTAGAGAATAGAAAGGGAGGGGAACTACATGACAAATATGACTTAAGTATACAGATAATCTTGGAATCTTTAGAAACTATCATTTAAAACTCAATCCCTCCCCTCTCGATCCGTCCACTTTTGAGGGGTTAAGAAAGTTGAGAAAATGTGCTTTTCAGCCCTCCCATCCTTTCCCCTCACTAACTAAAAATTGTAAACAAACACAATTTTTAAGGGTAGCATTTTCTGTGATTCTGGGAACTGGGTTGTCCTTGTTGTTAATTGCACTATGGTAGAATTTTGGATGGAATTGGTACAAGGTCCCTTATTTAGTTCACTCGACTTGAAGACGAAGGGACAATTTGTGTCACGCCCCGAAATTACAGCGAAAATTTGTAAATGCGGGGTGCGTGATAGCAGCGACTCGTGCACGAGACAAGTCTTATGCACGAGTCAAGTTTGACACTTCACATCACATAGTTTATCTCAAAATGTTTATAAACCTGCTGATGATAGAAATCAGAGCAACTATATATATGTATATAATCGGTACTTACAGCCCACAAGCTCACCGTTATAAGCATTTTTTTACAAAACAAAACAAATTGTGTTGAAAGTAACATCAAAAGGAGAGGCTCTCCATATAACGCCTCTTAGCCAAAAGCCCTAACCCAAAAGTTCAGCTAGTATGAAGCTACGTCGGATCTGAAGAAAAATTAAAAGCAACGGGGTGAGCTAGCGCTCAGTGAGAACATTTCCCACTAGAGTTCCTAGATAACTAACAAAATAGTACATTTCCCACTAGAGTTCCTAGATAACTAACAAAATAGTAATAAGCATAATTCTCAGAAATAACGAATTATAAGTTTTGCATGAGAAATTCAAAACAAAATAGTAATAAGCATAATTCTCAGAAATAACGAATTATAAGTTTTGCATGAGAAATTCAAAGATAGTAAAATACGATCCAAATATCATAATATTATCGTCTTCAAGAAAGAATGCAACAATTATATTTTCTTTCTTATGTGCAACTGAATATACTATGGGGTTTCTTGGAATCAAACCCTTTTTGAATCAAGGTAAACATTAAGAAGGAAAAGAACCACTAATTTGTACAAAACCAGAGAATTTTTATTTTCTCAATTTCACAGTCAATTATCAGAACCTTAATTCTCGATGAGTTATTCATGAATGTAAAAGTCACCTCATAGGTCACACTAAGACTACGAATTATAGCTCAGTAGCAAGGGGATGCGTAAAACGCATCACATGACAGATAATTCCCGAGAATTGAATGCACCTAACACTATCATAGGTTACTGGCCAAATACAGAGGGGTCAGAATAAATTTCAGAATGGCCAATACAGAAGGGCTAACACAGAGGGGCCAAATAAATGTGCATTCACCATATGGCAGGTAGAAATAATTTATAGTGGACTATTTGAGGGTTTAAAAACATCGAGATCACATGTCCAATAAGTAATATTTTGCATCTCAGAATTTACAGATATTTTCAAATGAAGTTGACAAGATAAAACTTCTTATCCCAGTTAAGACAGTTTACGATTTTTTTTTTAATCAGATACCAAATCACAGAAAATCTTTGAATCCGTTAAACAGTTGAAATATGTTCAAAATACTTCATCAAAACTTTTAGATAAAGCAATGCTTACAATTGTTGAAACTGCATGAGAGCCAATTCGCTTTTCATAGTTCGTATAAAATCAAATTGATTTTTCATATCTTGTACGAAACAATATCATATTTATGGTTTACGCCACAACAAAGGTAGATCAAATCTTTATATACATGAAAATGATATATTATTTTTCGATTACAAGATAAATCAAATATAATATTCATGCAATTTTATATTATAAAATACTAGTGAGAAATGAACTCACCTTAAGTGGACACGACTTTCCCAAAATATTATCCTCCTGAATATCAACCAGATCCTATAATATAAGATATAGAACTAATTATTAATTCAGAACAAATATATATTATAGGTACATCAATTCATAATCTAGAGCCTAATAATTTTAAATATAATCCCTAACAGTTTAAAATCCCTAAATAGGGTAGATATAGATTTATTTCTAACTTATGATGAGGTAGGGGATTATGAGTAATTAATCCAGCCCAAAAGTGATATCTTTATCTGCAAATTGGACATATTTGTAAACAAAGCAAATAACAAGGGTCCCAAAATAATTTTGCTATATAACTAAAATTTTCCCATTTCCTCTCTCCTTTATCTCTTCTTCTTCCCGTTACTTCTCTCCTCATCATTCATTTTTTTTCTGTTTCTTTCTTCTTCTCTTCCTCTCTCTCTCTCTCTCCCCCTCTCTCCTTCTCTCTTTTCCTCCTTTGCGGCGTCAAGTTGGCGCGGCTGCTCAAGCTCCGCCGCCGGAGGGACCACCCGAGGGTGAGCCCTCCTCAACGCCGACGGTCAAGTAAGTTTTCTTTTTTTCATTTTTTTTGGTCTGGCATCAGAGCATCTATCTCTTTCTCTCTCACCATGGAGGTAGGATCGTAGGCGATGAAGAGCCGCCGACGATAAGAACCGCCGGATCTAGGGTTAGTACTCTCTCTCTTTTCATAAAATCTTAATAGGTATTTCAAAAATCGAACTTGTTCATCATAATCACTATCCTATTAGAAACTAATTAGATAAAAGAGAATAGAAAATAAATTACCTTAGATTCCCTTTTTTTTCACTGTCACATTCCTCTTCTTCTTCTACTTCTTCCCTTTTTTTACCCGAATTTTTCACCTTTTCCTCCCTTAAATACTGTTGGGAGGCGGTGAAATTTTACCGACTTGATAATGCGGTGGAGAAAATCTCTGCCACAAGATATTATAATTATTTTATTTATTTGTTTATTTATTTATATTTTTCTTGCTATTACACTCTCCCCACCTAATAAAAAGTTTCGTCCTCGAAACTTAACATACCTATATTTCGAAAGAGTTCTGTATATCTCTCGCATAGAATCCTCAGTCTTCCAAGTAGCTTCTCTTTCAGAATGATTCTTCCACTGATCTTTCACATATTTGATTATTCGGTGTCTAAGTACTTGTTCTTTAAAATCCACAATACATTCTGGTCTTTCCTCATAGGTTAAATCTGGCTTGAGCTCCACTGGAGACAACTTAACGATCTCATTTGGATCTCAGATGAACTTTCGAAGCATCGATATGTGAAATACATCGTGTACTCCAGACAGGGCTGGTGGTAATGCTAGTCTGTACGTTACTGGATCAATACGTTCCAGAATTTCAAAAGGACCGATAAATCTCGAGCTTATATTCCCTTGAATGCCGAATCTTTTCACTCCTCGGGTAGGCAAAACCTTTAAGAAAACATAATCGTCCACCTGGAACTCCAATTCTCTTCTTCTTTGGTCAGCATAACTCTTCTGACGACTTTATGCTGTGCGAATATGTTCTCGAACTAATTAAATTTTATCAATTGCTTGTACCAATTCTGGTTCAAGAAGTTTCCTTTCTCCAACATCATCCCAATGAATAAGAGACCTGCACTTCCTTCCATAAAGAAGTTCATATGGTGTCATCTGAATGCTAGCTTGATAACTGTTATTGTATGCAAACTCGACCAAAAGCAGATAATCTTCCCACGACCCTTTCATTTCCAGTACACAACATCTCAACATATCTTCCAGTGTTTGAATTGTTCGTTCTGATTGGCCATCTATTTGTGGATGGTAAGCTAAGCTGAAATTTAGTTTAGTCTGCAGAGCTCTATGCATATTTTTCCAGTATTCTGATGTAAACCGAGGACCTCGGTCAGAAACTATTGATATTGGTACACCATACAATCTCACTATCTCATTAATGTATATTTTAGTCAGCTTTTCTCATGAGAATTTCATATTGATAGGTAAAAAGTGTGCCGACTTTGTCAACTAGTCCACAGTTACCCATATTACATCATTCTTTCTCAAAGATTTCGGAAGGCCAGTGACAAAATCCATGGTGATCTTTTCCCATTTTTCCATTGGTGTGTCTAAGTTATGGACTAATCCAGCTGGTCTTTGGTGCTCAGCC